CAGAGGGGCCGAGGCAGGAGAGAAAATAGTTGAGAAGAGCTGGCAAAGAGCTGGAAAAAGAGGATTGAAGGGCGAGAGGAGGGTTGACAAGGAGAGCACGCAAAACTCCTAGGTTTGGCTAAGTGCTGGAGAGGAGGGAGTGCCAGAGCTAGGGCGACAGAGAAGCGCAGTGGAGGGGATTTTTAAAAGAAGGAAGAAGGTGCCAGAATTCGTAAATCTGAGATGGTTACTACACCGCAAGAATAGATCACCTCCGGAAGAAATAGGGAAGGTCGAATATAACGCCCGGGACTGCGTATGTGCGTTCGTCAGACCTAAACATACGAAGAAAAGCTGTTGCTCGCCACACCCGATGGACGCCACCCCATATGGCCGAAAACCCGATGAAAACACAAATTCTCCTTGGCCTCCTGGGGCTGTCCCGTGCAGCATTCTGACCCGCCTTGGCTTTCAGCGGTGCCTTCTCGGACGCGAAGTGCAAACTGATGGGCCCGGCGCCGCGCGAGTGCCACGCACAGCCCCGCCGAAATGGACAAAGCCAGATAGATATCCAGCACTATTAAACAGTCCTTGCGGCCGTTGTTCTTCCAGTGCTCTCACTAGGCTGGGTGAGATGGGGTGAGACTAGGGCTAGGGGTCAGGAGGGAACTCATTTGATTGAGGAGGAGAGGAGTCTGGGGAAAACCTCGTTGCAGAGCTGATTGAGCTATGCAAATCCTGGTTTGCAAATGCAGCATTATTAAGAATATGAAGGCTGTAGCATTTAGAAGCCAAATAATCCCTTCTGACCCCTATGATTAGTCCTTGCTACAAATTCTCACAGGGGTGATGCTTAAAGTCTGCTGCACTAGCATTGCAGTTATTGCCCAGATCACTCAAATTTTTTCTTCTTTTCTTTTAAAAAACATTTTTTTTAGAGGATGGGGGGTCTGCGCTATGGTTGGCCCAGTTTAGGTTTGAACTCCCAGCCTCAAGTGATCCTCCACCCTGGTCCTCCCAAAGTGCTGGGATTACAGAGTTGAGCCACCAGCGATGGGCGCCCACTCAACATTTCCTACTCCCGGCACTGAATGGTTTAACATAAAGCGAGGGCAGCCGCTGCCTTGCCCAGTGGTCCCCTCTTCCCCAGGAGAAGGAGGGTCGTGCCCTCGCCACAGCCGCCTGTAGGAAGCTGGTGCTCTCTGACCCTGTGTTCTGGGCCATGGATTTGTCACGCCTGGCTGCTGGCAACGGCGACGAAAGTAATCAAGAACGGAGGCTGCCACAGTAACCTCCACCTTGGGCCTGGCAGGGAAGTGTGCGAAGCCGGGCCAGTGCCAGTCCCTTTATAGGAACAGGAAATTAGGCAAGGCCTGGGAGAAAGGCGCCGTTTGCACGTGGAGCTGCAGCGTTGGGGAAGGCCAGGATGCAGGAGAGAGCTCAGAAGCCACGAGAGAAAGCGGAGGCACAAATGCATGTATTTACTAAACACTGACTCCGGCTGGCGCGTGCGTTAAGCACTTATACCTTGCATGGGCTCTCAGACGGGGTTCCAAAGGTGGGGTGCCTGGGGCAAGCAAGCCCGGCATCACTTTGAGAGCTTGTCAGCACATTGCAGGTTCCAGGCGCCGCCCCCGCAGCGCCACTGAATCAGAATCATTTGGGCGGGGTGACACCCAGAAAGCCTGCTCGTCTACAGCCTTCTATGGCTCTTTGCACCACGCCAAGGTTTTGCAGAATCACTGAAACCAGCGTTCACCTTCTGGCGTAAAATCGCCTTTCGTGGGAGGACAAGGTCCGCCTGACGTCCTGAAGGTGCAAAGCCAGAGGCTTCCCTGGCCGCCTAGGCTGGGAGAGGGGGTCCCTTGGTGATGAAATGTTGGCTCAAGTGCAGCAGAAGCAAAACCTGCCACCAGGAGAGCTTTTAAAAAACACTTGATGGCAAGAAAGGCGGCTGAATGTGAGCATTGATCAGCTCCTAAGGCCGGCAGATTTCTGGCAATAGCCAGAGCCTTCTGATTTGCAAGAAGGCCAGCGGTGGCGGGGCGAGGAGAACACACATGCAAAATAAGTAATATGGCTGTACACCAGCGACTCTTGCTCTTTTTTCGTGAGCCCTGACTGGGTGGCGGCTGGGGCCTCTCCAGGAGAGATGGGGGACGCGGGTCAGAGGGGCCTGCAGGGGACCACAAACTGGCGCTTCTCCTCCTGGCGAACCCTCCGGCACATGAGAGAACTCAACTGCTTCGTGCCCGGCTTCTGGTTTGGATGTCGGGCAGGATGGGATCTTCGTGAATCCCATGTCGGAAATTGCGCTCAGCAGGAAATGATCCTGTGAGGACAGATGGGTGCTTTGTGTAAAACGTCATAATATTCACTCAACTCATTTTTATTGGAGTGCCTGCTGAATACACACAGTGAGGCGAACAGGTCAACCCTTGCCTGGTGGGTTGCCATTCCTTAACACTCGGGTAGGCGTCAGACAATCCAAATACCGACCAGTAGGTCAATGGGATGAGCAAGTGACGTGGAATAAAATAGCGACCAGAATTCCCAGCGTACCCTGGGACCATTTTCTGTACACTCGACCTCGTGGCATTTAACGTGTCGCGAGTTTGCTGGAGATCTAGTCACTGTGCAGATTCTAACTCAGCTGCGGCTGCGGAGTGTGCATTGCTAACATCTGCGCCCGGGGATGCGTGGCGCACTGGTCCACGACGCATTTGAGTGAGCAGAGGGTCTCAGTGATCAGAAAGTGAGTAATAGAACTTACACAGGGGGAAAACAAAGGTAATCCGGAAGAACTGAGCTGCAGGAAGGCGGCGTAGCAGCCAGATGCAATGACTTTGGGTCTAACAGGAGAATGAAGCAGCTTCGTGGTGTCAACAGGGAAGACTTGGAAGAGCGGTCGGTGGGATCCGGCTGGTCGGCGCGGGGTTGAGACTGTTATAGGACAAATGGGGGTGGGGCAGGGGAGTGTCCACGCTGGAATCACCCAAGGAGCCTCAAACAATACCCCACCTGGGCCCCAGCCCACCCACTGAGTCGGAATCCCTGGGCGCAGGACATGGATTGGTAACGCCCAGGTTATTCGATGTGCCCGTCTGAGTAAGGCCACTGGACTGGTCGGTGGGGAAGAGTCTAAATGATGGCAAGGGGGACACAGGAGTGGAGGGACAGTGGGAGCTGGCTGGGGTGGCACAGAGGGCGAATCTGGAGGAGAGGAAGGAGCGGAAGTCAAACTGAGTGGCCAGGCTGGGGCCCTGCAGTCAGCCACTGCTGGTGGTCCCGACCTTGGGGTAAATCGAGGCAGGGGTTGGCTGCCTGGACGGTCCTAGGCAGTAGGCAGCGCGAACCGCCCCAGGTGTGCAGAGAGCAGAGGATGCCACCCATCAGGAGGCAGGCGGGAGGCAGAGGTCATAACCTTGGCCAGGACATGCCATCACCCTCTGTGGCCACGAGCCTTAAGCTAAACTAAATCTGCTGAACGCCGCTTCCATTCAGGGCTGGAACAGGAGGCTGAGACTGCGAAGCTGCCTTTCTGGTTTATTAACTTTTTGAAGGTCACGGAGAAGCCTTTCAGGGGAGAAGTTCTCAGCAGGGGTGAGGACGTGGGATTGCCGGGTGCCCTTAACTCACACACGGTTTCCTACAGAAGGGGGTTGTGGGGACGCACCCCTGGCATAGGAATACGGTGGCGTAGGCCATGGGGTCCCCTCCTATCCTGACCACGGGGCATCGCAGCCAGGATTGTCCCAAAAGGCTCTAGAGATCAAGCACAGGTTCTTTTCTTCCACTAATTTATTGCAGGATTTTCAGCAAACCACCCGCCTATCTGCACCTGCAGCCTCCGGCCTTCGACCTCACTTGACCTTGCTCCAAAGCAGCAGCTGTCCAAGTCCACCTGCTGACTCCTGTCACCTCCATACCTGTGTGCCACCGGCCTTCCTATCTGCTTCCTTTTCTGTTTGAATCAACTCACATTCTGATTTATTTACATTTCAAAAGGAAATTTTATATCACATTTTAAAAAAAGAAAACCAGCATCTCTTGCCAGAATGAGGTGACCAATGAAGCCTGTGTAAATAACCCAGTGTCACCAAATTCTGGCCAGGTGCCATCGTTTGCCAAGCCTGGCAGCCTGGGCCTGCCCCTCTCACTTAGAGAGATTGGCGGGGCACGGTGGCTCATGCCTGTAATGCTAGCATTATGGGAGGCTGAGGCAGGAGGATCGCTTGAACTCGCGAGTTTGAGACCAGCCTGAGCAAGAACGAGACCCCTTTTACTAAAAATAGAAAAAAATTAGCTGGGCGTGGTGGCATGCACCTGTAGTCCCAGCTACTTGGGAGGCTGAGGCAGGAGGATCACTGGAGCCCAGGAGTTTGAGGTTGCTGTGAGGCATGATGATGCCATGCCACTCTACCCAGGGCAACAGATGGAGACTCTGTCTCAATAAAAACATTTCAAAAAAAGGCAACTAGACAGGGAGATTAGCACGGGTTACTGAGCAGAAAGACAGGCCAACTCTGCACAGAGGCCTTCTGCAGAATCAGCCCCAGAATTGGAGAAGGATTAGAAGTCACTTCTCACCAAAAGATTCAGTGGCATTTGCTGCCCCATCTCCTGGCCACTAACGTCACCCTTTGTCTCACCAGAGCCTGCATCCCATGCTTTGGGGACATTGTCCTAAAGGATTCAGACCCCCCATGTCATTTCTCAGCAGGAGGGGCCTTCCCCATTTCTCAGTTCACACAGGATTCTCCTTGGGGAGATTTGTGGCTTTAAAACTTAACACGATTCCCTGTCACAGCAAAGACTAGGGCACCTGTGTCCTATTGAAGGGGGCGGGAACACAGCACAGGTTCTGGAATGGGGGAAACCTGCTCCTGCCCAGAGCCCCACTCGCCACTGCTGCGGCCTGGCTGGGGACACACAGGGCCACCTGGGACGGGCGGGGGAGGGGCGGCCTTGGTAGAGCTGGGACGCCCCTGGCCCCGGCCCTGTGCCGTCCCCCCACTTACGCCTTCCTCTCCTCGTCCATCCTGTTGATCTGGCCCCCGACGAACACGCGCATCTTGCATTTGCTCCACCTCTTCTTGCGGCCCAGGAGGTAGGGGATGAGGAGGGTGAGGCCTGGCAGGGAGGGCCCGGGGGTCAAGACAGAAACTCTCGGGACAGAGCGGGATGTGGGCTCCCGCCCGCTCTGCCAATAGCAAGCCCCTTCCCGTCTCTGTGCCTCAGTTTACCCATCCGTATAACGAGTGCGCCTGACCAGACCCACGTTGCGCGTGGTGCTCCGTGAGGCCCGGTTTGTTGGGCTCGGGCCATGTTTTTAAATAAAAAAACTGGCATCTAACAACTGGGGGGGTTGCACGTGAAAATCTAGATCAGGGGTCTCTAAACAGGGGCCAGTTCACTGTCCCTCAGACCGTTGGAGGGCCGGACTATAGTTTAAAAAAAAAAAACTATGAACAAATTCCTATGCACACTGCACATATCTTATTTTGAAGTAAAAAAACAAACGGGCAAAAACACCCGCATGTGGCCCGCGGGCCGTAGTTTGAGGACGCCTGGTCTAGATCACGGGCAGTTCTCGAAGACTGAGAATTGGACCAGTGGGTGGGAGCCCTCATCCCTCTTCTGTCATCCGTCCACACCAGGCCGTGTGTCATGTGTCAAGTGTCACTGCATAGTCCTCTGTGCCTCAGTTTCCTTATTTACAAAGGGAGTGAGTCACAATAGCGGGGGTTGCACTAGGTGAGCCCACGCAGGGCACTCAGTGTCCCGCAAGTCGCGTGCGCAGCCGTGTTAGCTGTCATCGCTAGGGCTCATTCTACTGGAGCAGGGGCATTTTCTGTTCACCTATAACTCTATCAAAGGTAGGAGCATGTTTAAATAAAAATGCTCCCTACAGCCTTCCTGTGCCCCGGCCCATCTCCCCCTTTGTTTTGTGCGCCCGTGACCACCTGACGGCTGTCCCGTCAGAAGGTTCCATCTCATGCCGACCTCAGCTCCTCCCTTCAAGTTCCCCATTTTACCACTAAAAATCGGGAGGCCAGGGAGAGGGGCTCAGCCAGGCTCCCCCCCCGTGCTCACTGGTGGGCCCAGGGGTCCCTGTCCCCTTTGCTGGAGCCCCCGAGGCCTGGACGAGAGCAGGCAGGAAGGGCAGGCCACGCAGGCGGAGGACGGAGGGACGACCCCTGGGCAGAGCCGTGGCCAGCGGGGCACTGACCTCCGTCGTCGAAGAGCCAGTAGATGTCGACGGTCTTCTTGCCCTGCTCGGCCTGGAAGACAGTGCTGGCCTGCTCCTCCCGCACCAGGGCCTCGGGGGCCGCTGCAGGGGGACGGGAGGGTCACGCAGAGCCAGCTGCCCAAGAGGTGGGCTCCCCGTCCGTCCCCAGGGGCCAGAAGCACCCTGCTGCGGGCTTGCACCCGGGCGGAACACAGGCCCTTCAGGTGGGTCCCCGTGACGCCCTGACGCCGAATCCCCCCCAGGCCCAGCCATCGTTGACACTGGCCGAGCCTCTGCAGTTACCCAGCCCCGGTCACTCGGGTGCCACTGTATGGAAAAACTGGCTGCCCTTGACCACTTCCTAGGTGGCCAGCCACCAGCTGCCCCAGGGGGAGACAGTGCGCTGGGCCTCTGAGTGGGGGACGGACATGCACCAGAGACAGACGGCCTGGCTCTGCTGGCGCTGGCTTCCTTGCCGTCCTCCGCTGGGTCGAACACGGTGTTAACTGCAAAAGAGGGGCAGCTTTGTTCACAGGCTCTCTGTGCCTGGGGGCTCCCCAACACAGGAAGAGGGTCCTGCCTGGCCTCCACTGCCCCACCGCGCCGGGACAGCCTCCCGCTGACCTGCCGCCTGCCCTGGCTCCGCTTGTCCCGCCCCGCCCAGCTGCCTCCCGTGCCCAAGGCAGGCCGATGGGGAGACTCTGCTTTGGTCCCTGCTGTACCCGCAGTGCTCAGAGAGCGTCAGCCATGCACGCGGTAAATATTTACTACTCTGTGAACCGTGGTTGCATAAATATTTACTGTCCCGCCGCGCTGTGCCCGGCACGACCCAGCACCGAGCAGCCCCAGCCCTGCCTGCGAGACACGGGCAGTCCATCCCCCCAGGCTCCCCACTGTTTGCCATACGTGCTATTTCTTTCACACCCCTAAATATCCCCAATGCAGAGTCTGCGTCGCCATACACCACTTTACGATGTAAACACAGCCCTACGCGGTGCCCAGAGACAGTTGTCCCCACCAGATGGCCCGTTTCTGTGGCCTGTTTGTATTTTCACGCTCGGTGTCTTTATGTGAGCATCTCCTCTCCCCTCTCCCTGCTTCCTCTCTGTCAGATCCTTTTCATCCCCCGACTGGGATTCGGGAGCTCTGAGTTCTAGTCTTGGCTGTGCTCCCAGCTGCGAGCTTGACCTGGAACTACTATAGCCATTTCTGGGCCCTTTCTGGGCCCTGGTTTCTCCATCTGGAAACCGGATGGGCTCTAAGGGGCCATCCAGGGCTGACTTCCTACGAGTCTGTGACCCTTTATTTATTCCTTACTAGTTTTTCCCTCGCTTCCTGCCATGCTTTTAAAAAAAGTTGGGTTCTAGAACCTTCTGGGGTCCCGTTCTGGTTTCCGACAGGTGCCGAGCAGGCCGGCGCGTACTCACTGTGTGCCTGCATCACCTCCGAGACGTTGAGCCCCTCGCGCATGCGCACGACACACACGCCGTAGTTGAAGTCAAAGGCGTCACTGCAAAGAGAGGGCGTGGGTCAGCTTCTCCTCCCTCCCCCGGGGGCGACCTGGCCCTCAGGAGACCAGACGTCCAGAGTTAGCCCCACCTCCTACCATACCGTGTCTCTTCTCTGGGCCTCAGTTTCCCCGTTTTATAATGTACAGGCAGAACTGGAGAGCAACCCCGCCCCAGGACCCCCCCAGCTCTCTGGTCTATGGCGCTTCAGATCCTGCAGACCCGGTACTCGGGGGAAACCGAGTCAGGCCCTGTTCTCCCGATACGTTAGGCTAATCCTCACAACTCTGCCCGAAGAGGTGGGGATAGTAATTATTGTCTCCATTTTACAGATGCAAAAAACTGAGTTTTGGGGAATGAGTTGCTTGTGACCACACAACTAAGGCTGGGATTAGCATGACATAGTTGAACTGTAAACCAAAGGACAGACATGCACACAGCCACGGCCTGCCTCACGTGGCAGGTCCTCTCTACGGCACGTCTAGAAGATTCCTGCCCCAAAGGGATATTTCCTGCCTGCCTGGCACAGAGCCCAGCCCACTGTAAGGGTGTGAGCTGACGGCCCTCCCTGCTCCTGTGATCGCACATCCCTGGGACAGGGACCTTGCAGGCCTGCGCACTGCGCAGTCTTGGAATGTCGCAGCCGGAGGGAGCCTAGAGCCGGGGCATTGCGACACCCCTGTTGTCGCTGTGTGGGAGGCAGTGGAGACGGCTGCTCTGAGCACGGCAGCTGGGTGGCAGCAGGCCCCAGGGCCCCAACCCTCAGCTTCGAGTTCCTTAGTGACGCCGCGCACTCCCTCCCTGTGCGACTGCAGTGCAGGAAAGCCGCCCGGCCAGGCGCCCGGGACCTCGCACGGCACGAGCTGAAGGAGACCCGGCTCAGACTCAGCCCTGAGATCCCCAGGGAGTCCAGTCCTCCGTGCGTGGCTCTTGGGCTGACTACTGGGGGCCCTCCAAAGCCCACAGCGGGGCACAAGTTTTCACCTAAAACCCACCTTTTCAGCTACTCTGAAAAATTAAAATATCTGGCAACAGGGGCCTCCACTTCTGCACGGGCACGGCTGGCTGGAGCAAGTAGCGGCCGCTGTTCCCAGGTGGCCGCAGTCCCCACTGCTCCTTATTGCCTCGCACCTGACCCGCTTCGTTCTCTGTTACCTGCCCGACCCCTGCCGACGCCGGAGCCCGTGACCCACAGGTCAGGGTGGGGCAGCCTCAGCCTGTTTCTCCCCCAGCTTTGAACAAGTGGACTCAGCTTCTTTTAGGCACCTACTGTATCCCTTCCCCGCCCCACAGCCCAGGAAAGCCCAAATCCACAGCTCCCCGCCCTCGGCCCCGAGCCGCGCTCACTGGAGGATGCCGATGTAGTCCTCCACCGTGGCTGGGTGAGCCGACTGCCAGTCCTTCTTGAACCCGACCACCAGGATGTTGGGCTTCATTCTCCCGAGTCCTGCGGCCTGCCGGGGATGGGGCGAGGTGAGGGGCCAGGCAGAGAGGCAGTGCCACTGCCAGGCCTCATGCCCCGGGGGCTCTGCTCTGACTTGGGGGACTCTCTCAGCCCTAGCCACCCCCCCTCACACTGCGGGGGCTGAGGACATACACCCCTAGGTCAGGGTTCTGTCTGCCTGGACACAGCCACAAGAAAGGTGAAGCCACAGTCACCCCCTGTGGCTTCTCCAAGCCTGGGCCAGGGACCAGACTGTCCTATTGGTTCTGGGTTCTCCCAGCTCCTGCTACTTGAATTTAAATGTGAAGCTTAGGGCATTCCTGAGTCATCTAATACATAGATCTTTTATATTTCTCTCTTTTTTTATGTTAAAATTTAAAAAAAAATGAGGGGTAAAATTCACATAACAAAATTAATCATTTTAAAGTGCACAATTCAGTGGCATTTCGTACATTCACCACGTTTAGTATGTTCACGACACCGTCGCCTCTGTCCACTTCCAAATATTTTCATAACTCAAGAAGAGACCGCATATACTTTTTTGTTAATTTTTGAGAAATATTTAAAACTATTGAAAAAAATTCTCATATGTTGACTCAGAATGAATAACTGTTATTATTTTATCCACGCATCTCATTTAACACATGAGAAAACTGAGTAGTAAAATTAATCGTCCAGTGGAACATTCTAGATCTTGATCCAAGTGGCAATCACACACCACTGGGTATCTAGGTATCTATGTATGTAAACATTTGTCAAACTATACCTTTAATGTGTTTTACTTTAGTTTATGCATATTGTATCTTTAAAAAATAATAACAAGAACAAGAACTGGCTGAGGTCACACGGCCCTCCGAGAAGTGCCTTGAATCGGCACACCTGGGTCACGGGAAAGATGGGATTCCTGTCGCAACAGAAGGGGCTTCAACTCAACCCCGGACTTCCTTTTTTTTTTTGAGACAGAGTCTCACTTTGTTGTTGCCCAGGCTAGAGTGAGTGTCGTGGCGTCAGCCTAGCTCACAGCAACCTCAATCTCCTGGGCTCAAGCGATCCTCCTGCCTCAGCCTCCCCAGTAGCTGGGACTACAGGCATGCGCCACCATGCCCGGCTAATTTTTTCTCTATATATTTTTAGTCGGCCAATTAATTTGTTTCCATTTTTAGTAGAGACGGGGTCTCGCTCTTGCTCAGGCTAGTTTCCAACTCCTGACCTCGAGCAATCCTCCCGCCTCGGCCTCCTAGAGTGCTGGGATGACAGGCGTGAGCCACCGCGCCCGGCCCAACCCTGGACTTTCTGCTTCCCAAGTTGTCACACCAACTAGTAAGCCCTGTTGGGGAGGACCCCAACCCCACGGCACCTGCATGAGAATCTGGACGCCGCTGCGCAGGTCCTCCGCGATGACGTCCGAGTAGAAGGCCTTGATCTTCCTCTTGTTCAGCCACTTGGTGTGCCCGTTGGCGATGAGCCGGAGCTCGGGCATCCTCTGCTTGCGGGGTCCCTGTGGGTGGCAGGGCAGGTGACATCACGGCTGCCTTCACCCTGCAGCCCAGATGCAGCCCCTCTCCTGCCCTGGGGCTGCCCCATGGGCTCAGCAGCACCTAGAGGTGCCCGTTTTCCTTTGCAGAGTTGAGGGCGGAGGGGAGAAGAGAGATGGCCAAGAGGCAGGGCGGTGGGGAGAGGGGACGGGAAGTAGAGGGAGGTGGTTCCGTAGGGGGGCCTGGCTGGGCTCTGCCTACTCCGAGTCCCCCGAGAGTGGACATGGCATCAGGCCACCCCCCTGTGACCACCCTGCCCCGCCACCAGGGGGCACTCACGATGAGCACGTGGCCGCAGATCATGAGGCTGAGGTTCCGGGTGAAGGTGCCCACAAAGTCCACCAGGGCCGGGCGGAAGTTGGGGGGCCCCGTGAGCACCAGGCACTGGGGGCTGAGTGGGGGGGAGGGGGGGAGGGAAAGGGCGTGAGCCGTCAGAGGAGAGTCCACAGGGGTCTGGACGCTGAAGGCACCTCCCAGCTCCCTTGCTGGCTGCCACGCTGGGTCTCCCTTGTCCTTCCTGCTCAAGCCACCAGACACGCCACCTGGTGCTCCTCCCCGCCCTGCCCGGCCCAGCATGGCGGTGGGAAGAATGGAGACTGGCGGTAAGGAAGCCCGTCACTTATAAAGTCACCATATTACCTGGGCAAGTGACTCAGCCTGTGTGTGGACAGGCAGCACTGGCTTGTGCCCACTACCAGAGTCAACCAGAGCCAGACTTAATCGGCAGGTCACCAGCCGTGTGACCTGGGACCAGTTACTTAACCTCTCTGTGCCTTGTCTGGGACTGGGGTTAGCAATTTCCTGGACCTTAGAGGGTTGTAAGGCTGTGTGAGGCACTTTGCAAGCACCTGGCTCACAGTAAGTGGGACAGATATGTCCCGAGTACCCTTGTCACATGTGGTGGGGAGGGATCACAGGTACGTAAGGCGGGAGTCAGCTCAGAAGAGCACCCAGGGGAGGTTTGTCACCACTGGGCTCAAGGGATTGTCATGATGGGAATTACAACAGCACATCGCCCTGACAACACAGCGTGTTGCACTGGGGAAACTGAGGCACAGAGAGGTCCCTTGACTTGCTGGGTTCCTCCTGATGGCTGGGTGGTTCTCTTCCACCTTGGTTTCCCCCCTGAGTGGGGCTGTGCCCAGCCTGGGTCTGCCTGGGCCAGGTGCAGGCTCAGAGACCCCGGGCAGGGCCATCCCAGTGGCAGCCCCCGAGCTCTGCTCACCGGTAGTTCTTGATGTGGTCCTCCACCTCGTTGAGGCCCACGGTGTGGCTGAGGGCCAGGTTGTAGGAGCCGGCCTGCACCGAGGAGCCCCAGTTTACCTCTGGAGGGGTGAGAGCAAGATCAGACGCCCCAGAGGAGCCCGGACACGCAGAGGGAGGACGGGGAGGGAGGCTGGCCTTCCTCGGGCCCTGCGGGAGCAGCCGCCGGGCGTGGACCCCCGCGCTCTGCCCCTAACGCTCACGGGGCCGGGGGGGCCCACGCCGCACCCACGGCTGCATATTTACAAGTTGTGCGTCAAGACATTGAGCTCTGCAAAATCTCCTCCTTGCCACACACCTTCACGCTGGCCTGGAAGCCCGGGTTCCGATCTAGCACTCCAGGCTTTCTCGGAGTCCTGCCCCCTGGCTGCGTGCACGCAGACACCCCCACCCGCTGTCCAGGCTTTGGTCCCCTGCCCTGCGAAAGCCACCCGAGGCTGAGGCGCGCACAGCAGAGGGGCCCTGTCGGAGGATGGCTGGGCAGAGGCGCCGGCCCCGGAAGCCGACTGGGCGTCGTGCGAGCAGGGACTTCCCGGGTCCCGGCGCCCGGGGGTGTCTGGAAGCTGGGGTGTGGGCTCTGAGGGGGCCGCGCGGCCGGACGCACCTGGCTTCTTGTAGACCACGTAGAGCAGGAGGAAGAGCACGACGCCGATGGCGATGAGGGCCGCCCACCAGGTGAGGAGGAACATGATGACCACGGAGATGGCCGCCCCGAACAGCGCCGCCCACTTGCTGTAGTAGCGGAACGACGGTCGCCACCCTGGCCGGGCACAGGTCAGTGGGCCGGCTGGCACGCGGGAGCCCCGCCCGGCCAGGGCTGGGCAGCAGCGGGCGCCGCGTGGTCCCTCCCACCTGCCTCCTGGGGCTGGGGGCTCCGGAGAGGACCAGGGGCCCAACTCTGCTGGCTTGTCACTGTGTCAACAGGCACCACCAAGGAGGAACGTCCAGCTCTGGCCAGACTCGGCCACAGGACGTCCCAGTTCAGCAGCAGCGCTGGGGCAGATGGAGGGGGAGGACACCACTCTGCCTAGCTCCACGCCAGCAGGACAGGCCAGGGCTGCCGCAGCCACCAGCGACAGGGGCACCAGGCACAGTGGAGTCTACGTAAAAGCTGGCCTGGTAATGGACACCGGCAATTTGGGGCTAGTTAGAATATATTTTTAGTCGGCCAATTAATTTGTTTCCATTTTTAGTAGAGACGGGGTCTCGCTCTTGCTCAGGCTAGTTTCCAACTCCTGACCTCGAGCAATCCTCCCGCCTCGGCCTCCCAGAGTGCTGGGATGACAGGCGTGAGCCACCGGGCCCGGCCCAACCCTGGACTTTCTGCTTCCCAAGTTGTCACACCAACTAGTAAGCCCTGTTGGGGAGGACCCCAACCCCACGGCACCTGCATGAGAATCTGGACGCCGCTGCGCAGGTCCTCCGCGATGACGTCCGAGTAGAAGGCCTTGATCTTCCTCTTGTTCAGCCACTTGGTGTGCCCGTTGGCGATGAGCCGGAGCTCGGGCATCCTCTGCTTGCGGGGTCCCTGTGGGTGGCAGGGCAGGTGACATCAGCGGCTGCCTTCACCCTGCAGCCCAGATTCAGCCCCTCTCCTGCCCTGGGGCTGCCCCATGGGCTCAGCAGCACCTAGAGGTGCCCGTTTTCCTTTGCAGAGTTGAGGGAGGAGGGGAGAAGAGAGATGGCCAAGAGGCAGGGCGGTGGGGAGAGGGGACGGGAAGTAGAGGGAGGTGGTTCCGTAGGGGGTCCTGGCTGGGCTCTGCCTACTCCGAGTCCCCCGAGAGTGGACATGGCATCAGGCCACCCCCCTGCGACCACCCTGCCCCGCCACCAGGGGGCACTCACGATGAGCACGTGGCCGCAGATCATGAGGCTGAGGTTCCGGGTGAAGGTGCCCACAAAGTCCACCAGGGCCGGGCGGAAGTTGGGGGGCCCCGTGAGCACCAGGCACTGGGGGCTGAGTGGGGGGGAGGGGGGGAGGGAAAGGGCGTGAGCCGTCAGAGGAGAGTCCACAGGGGTCTGGACGCTGAAGGCACCTCCCAGCTCCCTTGCTGGCTGCCACGCTGGGTCTCCCTTGTCCTTCCTGCTCAAGCCACCAGACACGCCACCTGGTGCTCCTCCCCGCCCTGCCCGGCCCAGCATGGCGGTGGGAAGAATGGAGACTGGCGGTAAGGAAGCCCGTCACTTATAAAGTCACCATATTACCTGGGCAAGTGACTCAGCCTGTGTGTGGACAGGCAGCACTGGCTTGTGCCCACTACCAGAGTCAACCAGAGCCAGACTTAATCGGCAGGTCACCAGCCGTGTGACCTGGGACCAGTTACTTAACCTCTCTGTGCCTTGTCTGGGACTGGGGTTAGCAATTTCCTGGACCTTAGAGGGTTGTAAGGCTGTGTGAGGCACTTTGCAAGCACCTGGCTCACAGTAAGTGGGACAGATATGTCCCGAGTACCCTTGTCACATGTGGTGGGGAGGGATCACAGGTACGTAAGGCGGGAGTCAGCTCAGAAGAGCACCCAGGGGAGGTTTGTCACCACTGGGCTCAAGGGATTGTCATGATGGGAATTACAACAGCATATCGCCCTGACAACACAGCGTGTTGCACTGGGGAAACTGAGGCACAGAGAGGTCCCTTGACTTGCTGGGTTCCTCCTGATGGCTGGGTGGTTCTCTTCCACCTTGGTTTCCCCCCTGAGTGGGGCTGTGCCCAGCCTGGGTCTGCCTGGGCCAGGTGCAGGCTCAGAGACCCCGGGCAGGGCCATCCCAGTGGCAGCCCCCGAGCTCTGCTCACCGGTAGTTCTTGATGTGGTCCTCCACCTCGTTGAGGCCCACGGTGTGGCTGAGGGCCAGGTTGTAGGAGCCGGCCTGCACCGAGGAGCCCCAGTTTACCTCTGGAGGGGTGAGAGCGAGATCAGACGCCCCAGAGGAGCCCGGACACGCAGAGGGAGGAGGGGGAGGGAGGCTGGCCTTCCTCGGGCCCTGCGGGAGCAGCCGCCGGGCGTGGACCCCCGCGCTCTGCCCCTAACGCTCACGGGGCCGGGGGGGCCCACGCCGCACCCACGGCTGCATATTTACAAGTTGTGCGTCAAGACATTGAGCTCTGCAAAATCTCCTCCTTGCCACACACCTTCACGCTGGCCTGGAAGCCCGGGTTCCGATCTAGCACTCCAGGCTTTCTCGGAGTCCCGCCCCCTGGCTGCGTGCACGCAGACACCCCCGCCCGCTGTCCAGGCTTTGGTCCCCTGCCCTGCGACAGCCACCCGAGGCCGAGGCGCGCACAGCAGAGGGGCCCTGTCGGAGGATGGCTGGGCAGAGGCGCCGGCCCCGGAAGCCGACTGGGCGTCGTGCGAGCAGGGACTTCCCGGGTCCCGGCGCCCGGGGTGTCTGGAAGCTGGGGTGTGGGCTCTGAGGGGGCCCCGCGGCCGGACGCACCTGGCTTCTTGTAGACCACGTAGAGCAGGAGGAAGAGCACGACGCCGATGGCGATGAGGGCCGCCCACCAGGTGAGGAGGAACATGATGACCACGGAGATGGCCGCCCCGAACAGCGCCGCCCACTTGCTGTAGTAGCGGAACGACGGTCGCCACCCTGGCCGGGCACAGGTCAGTGGGCCGGCTGGCACGTGGGAGCCCCGCCCGGCCAGGGCTGGGCAGCAGCGGGCGCCGCGTGGTCCCTCCCACCTGCCTCCTGGGGCTGGGGGCTCCGGAGAGGACCAGGGGCCCAACTCTGCTGGCTTGTCACTGTGTCAACAGGCGCCACCAAGGAGGAACGTCCAGCTCTGGCCAGACTCGGCCACAGGACGTCCCAGTTCAGCAGCAGCGCTGGGGCAGATGGAGGGGGAGGACACCACTCTGCCTAGCTCCACGCCAGCAGGACAGGCCAGGGCTGCCGCAGCCACCAGCGACAGGGGCACCAGGCACAGTGGAGTCTACGTAAAAGCTGGCCTGGTAATGGACACCGGCAATTTGGGGCTAGTTAGAAAAAAGTCTTTTTCCTTGAGATTTTTGTTTGTTTTTTAGAGACATGCTCTCCCTCTGTCACCCAGGCTAGAGTGCAGTGGCAGGATCATAGCTCACAGCAGCCTCAAACTCCTGGGCTCAACCAATCCTCCTGCCTCAGCCTCCTGAGTCACTGGGACTACAGCTGCACGCCACCATGCCTGCTTCCTCGAGACCCTTCACTGCCATCTGCCAGGAGCTATTTTTTTATTTTTTGAGACAGAGTCTCACTCTGTTGCCCTGGCTAGAGTGCTGTGGGGTCAGCCTAGCTCACAGCAACCTCAAACTCCTGGGCTCAAGCCATCCTCCTGCCTCAGCCTCCCGAGTAGCTGGGACTACAGGCATGCGCCACCATGCCCGGGGAACTTTTTTCTATTCTTTAGTTGTCCAGCTAATTTCTTTCTATTTTTAGTAGAGACGGGGTCTCACTCTTGCTCAGGCTGGTCTCGAACTCCTGAGCTCAAGCAATCCTCCTGCCTCAGCCTCCCAGAGTGCTAGGGTTACAGGCGTGAGCCACCGCGCCCGGCCTGCCAGGAGTGTCTCAGCGTGAGTCCATGACATCTGCGGTATGAACGTGGCTCCCTAGAGCTGTGCAGTGCGCAACCTGCGACACCGTACACGACAGCCCCAGCTGCGACCTCGGGCAGTTCTCTTCCCTGCCTGGGGAATCAGACTCCTAAGTTCTGTAAAACCGGTGACAGAAGGGACTAGAAAAACCTCTGCAGACTGAAGACAGCGTACGAGCCCATGGCAAGAACGCACTGTGTCTGAAAAGGACAGCTGCTGTTATTATGTGGATGTTCCCTTTCATCGGTTTCAGTTTGAGAGGAGACTGTGAGCTGCCCCCGGCCCCCACGAGCCTCCCACCCCCGCCGCACCCCTGCCCCAGCCCTGGCGCCTCTCCTGCGGCGCAGGCTTGCTTACCGGGCGAGTTGGTGATGGAGGCGTGGAAGCAGCTGAAGTTGATGAGGGCGTAGGAGCACAGGAAGAAGTTGGAAATGATGGGGGCTATGGTGTTGAGCTCAGCTTCAGGGACCCAGGGAGAAAGAGGACAGCCTGTTGGGCGACTCTGCGGAGGAACCGCCTGGCACCCTCCCTCCCAGGGTGGGGGAGCCCAGGCAAGCCACTGAGCTGCAGTAAGTCTCAATCTTCTCGTCTGTGGAATGGGTCCATCATTTTGTGAAGCTCAAAGGGACGATGTCTCTCGTAAGCTGGCTTTTAAGAGGGTGGGGGGCAGCGTGGGAGTCACCCCATCGGGCTATGGGACGACCAAGGGCAGCGGCTGTCACGCTTTTTTGATCACAAGTTGTGGTAAGAAATACAATTTGCAACGTGGGTCAGGACACCGGAGACCGCGTCACAGTTCTGCCCGCAGTGCTGACCTGCTGGAGAACCGGCTGCTCCTCTTCCCCGTCTCACTGTCCCTCTCCCTGCCACTGCCCCCCGCACCCTGGATAAAACCTGCGTGTGAATCCTTGCCCCAGGGCCTGCTTCTGGGGGTCCCAAAGCCAGACGAGCGCCTCCCATGTGCCGGGTCCTTCCGCCTGCGGTTCCATTCCATCGCCCTCAGAACCCCGCAGTCACGGCCCCCAGTCCGCCGCCCAGCCAGAGCCACCCGACAGAAGGACGTGGAATGCCAGGCTGGGTGCCTGGCCGGGAGATGGGTTTCTGGGCCCACCAGGCCCGACTGGGCTTTCCCGTCCCCAGTGTGGCCTGCGGCGTCCTCGCTGGGCTCGGGATCCTGGAGTGCCCGGTGTCTGGAGAGCCTCCCCGGTGACAGCGGCTAGACTGCCGGGGCGGGTCGCACGGGTTGGTGATGCCGACCCCCGCAGCGGGGACTCGGCAGTGGCGGGCAGGTGCCAGCAGCCTCCCCCACCCCACCCTGCTAGGGAGCAGGGACCAGGGCAACATCATGTCACAGCATGGCCACTGTCCTTACTTGCATGGCCACCTCTCTCCTGGCGAGTTCTGCCTCCTTGGCTAAAAGTATTGGGTACATGCACAGGTGTGCGTGTGCACATGTGAATGCGTGGGCGTGGGCGTGTCCATGTGGGCGTGTGAAGACACGCATGGTCTGTGACACACCTGTTATGCACTGTGGCTCCCATTATGCAGATGAGGAAATGGAGGCTCAGAGAGGTCAAGTACCTTGTCTGAGATCACACAGCTGGCATGCGGCAAAGCCAGGATAGAAAGTCAATCTAAGGAACTAACTGGGCTCTGTCCCCTAAGGCGTGGGAAAATGGGTTGTCTAATTCGTACGCCTAAGAGGATGTTGACCCAGCCGTTTGCATGAGCTCCCAAGGAGGGACAAGGCAGCTTGTCTTGGGCTCCAAAGGTGTCCCGGGGGCTCGTTTAGACCTGGGGAGGGGTGCCAGCTGCCAAGACCCTGGGGTGCAGACCGGGAGGGCAGGTACGTCCCCTCGCACGAGGCAGAAGGGCCCCTGCCTGGCGTGGCTTGGGAGCCACCTGCCCGGAGGTGGGGAAGGGTCGATGGCTTCCCCGGTGTCTTCCGGGTGGGTGTCACCCGCACGAGAGCTCCCCCTCCCGAGAGCCCCGGCCCGGCTGAGCGCTGTGGCAGAGGTGAGGGGCGGGGAGGGAGCCCCTGGCCCACGGCCCTTGCGGCAGCCCGGCCCAGGCAGACTCACCGATGATGATGAAGGCCACGGCGATGGCGTAGGCCAGCAGGTAGCCGCGCACGGGCTCGTTGTTCTTGCCGTAGCCTTTGCCGAAGAAGCCGATCAGCGGGTACAACTGGTCCAGGCACAGGCACTGCGGTAGCGGACGCCTCGCTTGCGCCGGCCCGCCACCCGCACCTCCCGCCCCGGGCCTCCCGGACCCAGCCCCTGCCTGGTGCCCTCGGTGGCCTCAGCAGGGCGTCAGTCCCCCTCTGGGTCCTGATGTCTGTCCCTGTCCCACGGGGGTGAGGCCCGCCCCGCCCCGCCTCACCACGCACACAGGGAGGGGCCCAGCGCCTGGGGCGGGACTCGGACACTGCACAGGCGGCGCAGGTGAGGTGGGGGGACCGTAGGTGTCCCTCGAGTCACAGCACAGGGAGGGGCTGCTTCCCCCAGGACTTGGCTCAGAATGCCCCCTTTCCCTTCCAGCTGGGGACCCTGGTCACATGACACCTCCGGGTCTCTGTAGTGGTCACCCAGGGACCCCTCCTGCTGGGTCGCCCCCCGCCCCGCCCCTTTCCGTGGCCTCACCTGGAAGACTTTGGCGGCAGAGACCAGGCAGGCCAGGGCGGAGGAGAGGGTGGCCCCGAAGATGCCGGCCGTGATCAGAGGCCCGAAGCCTGACACCATGCTCATGGTCTGCAAGGGGGTCGGGGGGTTCAGGGCCTCCCACGGTGGGGCAGACCCGAGACACCCGCCCCTCCCCCGGCACCCGAGTCCCCACTGCAGGCAGGAGCTGGGCCCTGAGCCTCACCGAGTCCACGGCCCTCACCTGGCGATCCCGGTGCCACCCACGGGCAGGACTGAGCGCGCCTGAGCGCTGCACCTCTGTCCCTCAGGCCGGGGCCCGGCCCCCTAAACCCTGTCCTTGCAAACTTCCAGCCCCACGGCCCTGCGTCTCATCTGCTGGGGTGGCGCCCCTGGCGGCCCCGGCCCCTGCGGGACCTGGTAGTAGTTGATGAGGCCGTAGCGGCAGCTGTGCTGCCGGGAGCACTCGGTGAAGTTCCAGCCGTAGCCGCAGGCCAGCCCCTCGCAGGCGCCCCAGCCCGGCGCCACAGTGTCGTTCAGGACCCCGGAGGCGTCCCGCACCACGCAGGAGCCTGAGAGGAGGAGGAAGGGCGTGTGGCGGTCTCCTTTCCCTCCCCCATTCTGTCCGCCCCCACCCCCGACGCTGGTCACCTCTCAGCGGGCAAGTGTGCAGGCGATAATAGTGACAATAGCTGACGTGCGGGCGCCACCCGTGCTAAGGGCTGCACACGCCCTGGGAAGCAGGCATGGCTATTATCTTTCCTGTCGTGGCCATTTTACAGGGGCGCAGGGAGCCTCAGCGACCTGCCCGTGATCACAATGTCCTCCTTAAAGCAGGGGCCTGGGCCAAGTCCCTTGGCCACCTGTGCACAGCTTGTCACAGGGAGCAGGTACCCCTGTGAGGTGCTCAGTTCAAGGAAGTTGACAGCCCAGGCCTGGGTTGAAAGCCAGTTCCACCCCTCGGTAGCTGTGTGGCCTTGGGCTGGTCACTTAACCTCTCTGAGCCCCCATGTCCTCCTCTGTAAAATAGGGGAGGTGACAGTACTGGGATTAAATGTGCCAGGGCATGTCAAGGGCTGGCACGTGGTGAGTCAGTTGCCAGTATCCTCCTCCTCCTCATTATTATTCCTAGGGTTGGAGCATGTTTTATGCTGTGAACCTGGAACCCCAAGTTCTGGAGGGATCGGAGGAGCCTGGTCTGACCCCCAACCCCACCACAAGCTACCCCTCCCATGAGGAAGCTCCGGTCACCGCCAAGGTACCCCAGAATAGGGCTCGAGGCTCCACGCCCTGGGTCGCCAGGTCCCCCCAGCCCAGCTCCCCCTGCTAGAGAGTCAAACCCCACCCGCGGCCCCTCCCGTGCTCTGGGACACCGCAGGGTGGGGGGTGGGCCGGCCACTTACCGATGGTGGCTGAGATGGCCAGGTAGGACACGGTGGTCCAGAAAATGGCCATGAGTGTCCCCTTGGGGATGGCTACAGCAGGGTCCTGTAGGAGGGGACAGAGAGGAAGGGGGGGCGTCAGGCAACCTCTGGCCTCCTCCCAGCCCCAGCCCCAAAGCTGGGGAGCCTCCCCTGACCTTGGGGAAGGGGGAGGTGGAGGGCGGGGGGCCAGGGTGGCAGCGCTCTGGAGGTCCCAGCCGCCCGGGTCCAGTTCCAGGGCCGGCCGGGCAGTGCGCTGCACTCCCACGCCTCGGCCCCCATCGGTGAGGGAGGGACGGCACAGGATGTCGGTAAAATGAATTAATCCACATCAAGCTCCCAGACCAGGCCCCCCTGCCGTGAGCCTCGCGGCGTGGTACGTCGCCACGCCCCACGGGCTTGTCTGGTTCCACAGCGCGAAGCAGACAGCACGAGCCTCAGACTTCATCCTTCCGCTCCAAGGGACAGGCTCTGCTCGAGTCTTCCCAACAGGGACGACAAACCGTCACGCGCACGGCACACGTTCCTCTCTTCCAGGCGCTTTCTCAATTGTAATGTCCTGAGAAGAGGCCTGGGCACCCCACCCAGCTGGTGGGGAAACTGAGGCCAGGGAGCCGTGTGGGAGACCCGGGTCTCACCAAAGTCCTGACCGCACCTAAGTCCACGGCCTCAGGCTCCGGGGCAGGTCCTGGGCACAGCGCAGGGCTGGGATGTTTCCGGCAAGTTCAAAGACCGGCTTCGATTCACCCTCCAGGAACAGCCCCCGGCCACCAGGGGAAGGCCCCATCTGTGTGAACCTCCCTCCCCGCGTCCCCTGGGCTGTTCCACTCACTGTCCCGGCAACACATAGAACCACAGGTTAGGGACGAGTCAAAGGTGGGACCGTCAGCAGGTGACAAGACGGAGGCTGTGGCGGCCAGAGGAACATGGGGGCAGAGGGCCGAGCTGGAGTCTCCGGAGCCCCAGCTCTGCCGGGGTCCCTGCTCTGGCGCCCCTGTGGCATGGACCTGCCAGCCTGCCCTGCACGCCAGGGTGGCCTGACCGGGCTGTGCACAAGGTGTCCCTGCCCTCAAGGCCAACAGACCAGCCAGCCCCCCGACTCTGCCTCTAGAGGATTGAATAGTGTACCCCAAAATTCACATCCATCCAGAACCTCGGAACGTGACCTTATTTGGAAGTAGGGTCTTTGCAGGTGTCATTAGTTAAGACGAGGTCCTACGGGATTAGGGTGGGCCCAGCTGCAATGACTGGGGTCCCTACAGGAAGGACACAGAGACACGCAGAGGACAGGAGGCCACGCGGGGACAGGGCAGACTTTGCAGTGATGCCACCGCGAGCCGAGGGCGCCAGTGTCAGGGGCCGTGAGGAGGCAGGAAGAGGCAGGGAGGGACGTGTCCTCGAGCCCCGGAGGGAGCACGCGCTGCCGTGTCCCCTGCTCTGGGAGAAACTACATTCCTGTCGTCTTACGCCACCGGTTTGTGGTCCTCTGCTGTGGCGGCCACAGGAAACGAGCACACCAGCCGTTAGCCCCCTCCGGCCACCCACAGGTTGGGCTGAGATCGCAGACCCTGGGCCCATGCCGGGCACACCTGGGTCCACCTCCCAGCACGCCTGTCCCTGGCTGTGTGCACGGGGAGAAGCCCCTTGATGTTTCTGAGCCTCAGTTTCCCCATCTGTGAAATAGGAACATAACCTGGTGTGTGGCAGGTGCCCGTAACTGTGAGGTGCTGGGGTGGGGGCAGCAGTGGGCACAGGAACAACACAAAAACATTTTGTTGCATGATAAAGTTGTGATTATGTTGATAAGCAGAGGCCTCTTTGTTCTAGAAACTCATGTTCCCGCTCCTCTGCCCCCCATGTAGCCCTGGGCAAGCCCCCCAACCTCTCTGAGCTTGGCTTGCTCCTCTGTACCGTGGTAAAAGTGACAACTGGCTCTGAGCACGTCCTCCGTGCCAGCCACTTCATGGGAATTAGCTCCTTGAATCCTGGCCACTCCCTGCAAGGAGGGGGCTCTGTGAGTCCCATTGTACAGCTGGGGAAGCTGAGGCCCAGAAAGGGTTTAAGAGGTTTGGCCAAAGCCTTGAAGCGAGGGCTCCACACATCGGAGTTGCTGCTGTGGACACTGTCCCACAGGATGGGCAGAGAACCAAGTCCGAGAGCCCAGGGCCCCTTACAGCTCAAGAGCATTTAGGAGAGCGATGGCGCCGGCCCCACCCAGCTCTGAGACAGCCCAGCGGCCCCGCCTCCACGCTGGGGCTGGGCGGTGGGGAACCTAAGAAGCTTGCTGAGGCATCGGGAGGAATGCCCAGGCCTCCATCTAGTGGGGCTGGAGGGATCCAGGCTGTCTGAGCACAGGCGGCCTCTGGCGGCCACACTCTGGATCAAGGAGCAGGACAAATGCTCTCGGGTTCCCACCCCGCCTGGACCACCCAGGGCATAGCCAGTTAGAGCCAGACCGGCTCCGAGATTGTCTCTAACGCACAATTCTCAATTCGGTTAAGAACATGCAGCAGGCCAGGCGCGGTGGCTCACGCCTGTAATCTTAGCACTCTGGGAGGCCGAGGTGGGAGGATCACTTGAGGCTGGGATTCTAGATCAGGCTGGACAACGTAAAGAGACCCTGTCTCTATAAAACAGAGAAATGAGCCGGGCGTGGTGGCGCACGCCTATAGTCTCAGCTACCAAGGGCAGGAGGATTGCTTGAGGCCAGGAGTTTGAGGCTGCAGTGAGCTATGATGACGGCCACTGTACTCTAGCTGGGGTGACAAAGCAAGACTGTCTCAAAAAAAAAAAAAAAAAAGAAAAAGAAAAGGAAAGGAAAAAGAAAACAAGGAGCACCTTCTGAGCGGGACTGGAGGTGGGGGTGAGGGTTAGCTGTGACTCCAGCACGCTGCCAGGCTCCTGGCCGATGGCCTCGCTGGCCACCACCTCCTTTGATCCTCCTGCCCGCAGAGGCTCCACCGGCTTCTCCTCTTTCAGAGCCGAGCCCCAGCCCCACCTCCACCCAGAAGTGTTGCTGGCGCCCCTGCCAGTCTCAGTCTTTGCTTCTCCCCACTGTACGGCGCTTTGTACTTCTGCTCTAACACTACATTTCACTAGTATTCAGTCAACAAACATTCAGTCAACGGCAGACTCCGAGTTGGGAGGGGAGAGGGAGCTAGAGGGGGTGGCAGCTCTCCAGATGCAGGGGGAACTGACACGTGACCGGCCCCACGTTCGTGGGGAGCCATGACTGATGGAAGGGCAGGGAGAGATATAAAGTTGAAGGAAGTATTTGAAGGAGAAATAGAACTTTGTAAAATAAAAAAGCAAGGATGTGGAATGGCAGGTAGCGAGCGCAGCACAGGCAGAGCTGTGGAGGAGGGACGGGCAACATGGGCAGAGCAGAGGAACCCTGGGGCTGGAGCAGGGGTTGTGGGAACGGTGGCAGTGGTCAGAGATGAGTTTGAACAGGCAGGTTGGAGCCTTGAATGCCAAGCCAAAAAGCCTGCCTGCATCAAGGCAGTGGAGAGCCCTGGAGACCGTGAGCCCAGCAAAGATGTGCACGATCAAGGCTGAGTTCTGGAAGGTCACAGCTGGGCCAGTCTTCCCCTGAGGCCGAGAGTCCCGGGAAGCAGGGAGAGGATTAGCTACTTGGGGCGTCCCATGAGGTCTCGAATGCAGCTGGGGCCAATCAACAGTCTCAGAAGGGAGTGGAACGGGCTCGAATCGGATCGGACCGGACTGCATTTTAGGAGCTCTGCCCACTGGTCCCGGTGCCCAGAGGCAGGCCCCGGCAGGGCAGGAGCAAGACCCGGCCCACAGCCCTGCCGCGCCAGGGCGCAGAGGGACAGCTGCTGCGCTCACCTTGAGGTCCCCGGAGATGTTGGCCCCGGCCAGGATGCCCGTGGCCGAGGGGAAGAAGATGGAGAACATCCCGAAGAAGCTGCCGTCCGCGCCCCGCCAGTCGGGCACCAGGTTCTGGACGAATATGTCCGCTGGAGACCAGGGCCCGAGTCAGGGCCAGCGGGGGCTTGGCGGCAGCCAGCCCCCATCACCGCGGGACCCCACCCTCCCAGCGCCCGCACGGTGGGCCAGACTCCCGGACACACTGTCCCCGTCCCCAGAGCCATGATGGGGCCCCCAAGCGGCACGCACCCCGGTAGCTGAAGAAGCCTTTGGACGCCTTGTCCTCGGAGGGCGGGATGAGCGTGCCCACCAGGTAGTTGGCGAAGGAGACCATGATGACGAGGAAGAACAGCACCTGCGCCTGGAAAGGGCACGCCGCCTCAGGGAGCCCCGGCGGGGGACTTGCCGGGGTCCCTCCCTCCCTTCTTCCCTCACTCGCTCATCCAGCGTCCCTTGCGCAGCAAGCTCTGCGCTGGGCGAGCAGCAACGGCCAAGGCGGCTGATGAGGAGGAGGAATTCAGAGTGAGAGCAAAGGGTGTGAAGGGGACCAGGCGGGTGGCCGCTTCAGCAGGGTGGCCTGGGAAGGGGTCTCCAAGGAGCGACTCCCTGGAGGAGGAGGATGGAGCCGTGCAAGGCCCCGGGGATTCGGCCTGGTGCGTCGGGGAGGGCAGGAGGCTGGCACAGCCAGAGTCGGGGAGCGCGGGGACACAGGGGACAGAGGCAGGGCGCAGCGGCCGGGTCCCGCCTCTGGCTTTCGGTTGGACACATGGCTTCAAGGGAGAGCACACTGCCCAGCCTCCCTTGCAGCTACGTGCGGCAGGAAAGGGAAAGGGGGCTCCCTCCCCGCCACCCCTTCTTCCCTCCCCTCCGGCAGCGCCGTGGCCATCGTGGACCAAGTGAACCAGCGCCACACCCCAGGGATGGAGGGCCGCGGCATGGAAGGGGTCTGGGTACTTGATCCCCCAGAGCCACCACGCCTGCCCTGGACCACATGCACCTGGACCGTGCCACGAGAACGACGCAAAGCCTGTCTTGGCTCGGGCACCGTTCCTGGGGCTCCTTGTCACAGCCGCCGAGCGTAACGCCCAGCTGGTACACACGACACGCAGGACGGCGACCAGAAGCCAGGTCTCTCCATTCCCACTTCTCCACTTGACCACCCCCACGCCCCCGCTCCCGGTGCCTCCTTACCTTGGACTCCCACTCCATGCCCGCCAGGGAGATGGCCAGCAGCACGGTGACGGTGACCACACCGATGATGCGGATGTCATTAACAGGGTCCACGATGGGCGTGCCGTACTCCTGGGGGGAACAGGCCAGGCTGTGTGCCACTCCCTGGATGCCCCCGCCACACCCCGCCCGTCACTTAAGGTGCCCTCTGATAGGAAGTGCAAGTTCATGCTCCTTCCCTGCCAGGAGACCCCCCAAGGCAGCTGCGGCAGGGGCCTGGACGCAGTGTGGCCCCAAAGGCCACATGCACCCCCAAAGGGGACTTGTGGGAATGCCCCTTATTTAATAAGATTGTCACTGTCACCCACGGTGATCAGACTGTGGCCTTGGCTCCTGGCAGGTGCAATACAGTGGGAGGAGCTCAGGAAGACACCGCTGACCCAGATCCGGTGCGGAGAGCGGGGGAGGCCGCCCGGGCCCCTCCACCTGGCCTCCACCCGGCCTCCACCCGGCCTCCAGCGCCCGGCCTCACCTGGAGCAGGTCGCGCACTGTCTCCGCAAAGCCCACCGTGTGCATGGCCACACCCACGGCGTTGGCGAAAGCGAAAATGAGGCCGATGGAGCCCCCTAGCTCTGGGCCCAGACTCCGGGAGATGAGGAAGTAGGTGCCGCCTATGGGCAGAGCCAGGAGCCGTGAGACCAGAGGGGGCGGCCGGCTGCATTGGGCTTGGGCCAGGCAGAGCCGAGGAAGGGTGACCAGGGGCCACAGGGCAGGAGATGACCGAGGCCATCCTGTGGCGCAGAGAGCCTGCACGGAGCCCCACCCAGAACCACAGGAGCGGCTGGGGTGTCCCAAGGCGGGGGGCAGGGGGGGGCAGTTCAAAGACCTGTTCCCAGGGTAGAGACGGGGGTGGGGGCCCACCTGACTTGACCTTGCCGTTGGTGGAGATGGCCGAGATGGAGAGGCCCGTGATGGAGGTCACCGTGACCGAGAGCAGGATGATGATCCAGGTCAGGACTGGGGGGAGGGGGTGAGCGCCCCAAATCAGTCAGTCATTTCCCAGGGGAAGAGGCACAGGAGGAACCTAAATCTGCCTATTAAGTCACCATGCAAGCGAAGTCACTTCCTTTTTTTGACCTCAGTTTTCTCACCTGAAAAATGGGTCTCAGTCTACCTCCTGGCATATTCTGAACAGGCAGGGAGCTCATTAGCCAACATGTAAAGGATTGTTAGGATGGAAGGGAAGGTACCCTCCTCCCTCCTTTAATAATAAAATATAAAGTAACAGTTATGACTTGATGAGCACCTCTGGGTGCCAATTCCTGTGCTGTTTTACCTGCATCGTATAAATCCCACAATGGCCCTGTGAGGCAGGTACTGTTATCACCCCCATTTTACTGAGGAGAAATCCAAGGCTCAGAGAGGCTAAGAAACTTGCCCAGGGTCACACAGCATGGTACAGAACTAGCATCTGAATCTTGGTCTGTCCAGAGCGCATGCTCCGCAGCAGAAATTGGCTCAGAGAGGTTAAGTGGCTTACTGAGGGCAAACGGAGTCAGGGAGAGCCCTTAGGCCTGCTGACTCCACGTCCAGTGTGCCTGGCTCTGCCACGCCACCCTGACCCGTCACTGCAGAGGCCTGAGGTCCCTGCGGCCCAGGTTCAAGCCTGCTCCCCTGGGGCCTTGGAGGACCAGGGTACAAGCACGCCCTCCCTCCCCGCCCCAGAGGCGACACTCACCGATGCCCGCCTGGCCCGTGATCCAGGGCAGCCGCAGGTAGAGGATCACGCCCCAGATGTTGAGCATGCAACGGATCTGGGAGGAGAGTGGGGTCAGGGGCCACCTGGGTGGATACCCCAAGGCCAAACAGGTAAGTCCCTGTCCCTGGTCGTGGCGTGGCATCGGGCACCTAGGCCTGGGGGACAGCTGCGTCCTTTCGTTGCTTTCCCACTTCAGTAGATCTGACTGTCTGGGACTGTGGGGCGGGAGGGCGAGAGGCACCCGGAGACCCCCCATCCCTCCCACGCCCTCTCCGGCCCCCCACCGAGGCCTGAGGATGGGCTGAGGCATTATCACCCGCCCTATCCAAGCCGGGGCCCTGTGTCTGCCAGCCCCCGCCCGGCCCCGGGCCTGGCATTCAGGGGGAGCTCAGCAAATGCCAGCTGAGCCCAGGCCCCCGTACAAGCAGAAATCAGAGCTCAGATGGCCGTGACTTCAGCTTCCAAATTTAAAGCAAAGCCAGAGGCCACAACTGAGGCTGAAGCTCCAGGTGGGAGGGGCCGGCGTGGTCTTTGGCCCCACCAAGTTGCACGTTGGGGCAGGGCCACGCATGTTGGGGTGGCCCCAGACTCTGACTATGAGCCTTTGGGGGTGGGGGAGGGCTCGTGATTCAGATGGAGAAACAGAGGCACAGCCAGTTGGCAGCTGGCCGAGTAAGATCAGAACCCCAGCCTCCTGCCCCCCAGAGCGGAACCAAAGCTTTTTCCTACAACCCACGTGGCTCTCTCTGTAAAGTCCTAGAATGTCTTCCAAAGCCAAGTTCCCTTGCTTCCTTCCTGTCCGGGGACTATTCGCGCCCTACTCTGCAGCAAACCTTTCCCTGCCATTGTGGAGAATGGGAAAAAAATTATTATACTGGTTTGTGGATTTGTGTGTTTAGTGCTGCCTCCTGGTGGCTGCAGAGGGGAAATGCAACTTCTTCCAATAACTCCCTGGCCGTTGTGGATCCGATGACTTCACATCAATTAACTCATTTCATTCCCACCATGTCACAGATGGGAAAACTGAGGCACAGAGAGGTTAGGTAACTTGCCGCACGACTAGTGAGTGGCCAAGCAGAGACATTCCCCAGGGCCAGGTCTCTCAGCCTAAGGGATAAATGGGGGTCTGGAAGCACAAACCAGAAAAAATTTGAGGTCACTGTGCAAATGGGGAAACTGAGGCCCAGGCTGGGCCCTGGGTCTGCCCTGGCCACTGGGACCTGAGAGTCAGAGCTGAGCCCGATGGAGCCGTGTTTCCCCACCCCCACGTGTGGACACTGAGGCCCACACACGCCCCGCTCACCATCACCCCCTTGACCCAGCCGAAGCGCACGGGCTCTCCAGGGCTCTTCTCACCGCCCACGCCAGCCTCGTCCTCCACCAGCCCGTCGGTCATGTCGTGGCTGGGCCGGCTGTCAAAGGCCAGGGCGTGCAGGTGCCTGCCCTCCTGCTGGGAGCCAGAGACCAGCGTCGGGCAGGCAGGGGTGCTAGGGGCTGGGCCTCTGTGTCCAGCCCCCGGCCCGTGCCTGATATAGGTGTCCCCAGACCCCTCGGCCTCACTGGGTGTCCACTGCTGGAGGGGCTTTTGAAAACTCCCCAGTGGCAGCAGGGAGCAGACGCCACGAGTCCTGGCGCTCCTGTTGGTAGCGCCTCCGCCCCTCGGGAGAGCGCTGGCCTCGGAACTGGCCAGGCAGGTGTGCAGCCTGAGAGGGGGCAGGGTTAGAGCCACCCCGGAGAGGTGAAGCAGCTTGCCCCCAAGGCCACACGCGGGTCCCCGGCAGCGCTGGGTCTGGAACCCAGGCCCCTACCCCTGGAGAGTTTGTGCCCCAGGTGACTGAAGCCCCCTCCTCCGGGGCTTTCTTCCTGGGACCACAGCTCAGCAGCCCAGTGTGGCGCAAACGGCCATGTCTGATTCCTGGGGACCAACCCGGGGGTTTGCTCTGGGGCGGGGAGGGGTCCTGCGAATTCAGCAAGTCCCAGCTCCAGAACCAAGAATGATTCTGCCCAATTGTCAGATGGGAAAAGTGAGGCCGGACAGGGCTTTTGACAGTCCAGCTCCCAGGCCCCCACCCTTCACAGTCCAACCTCCTAGGTGGCAAACCGAGTGAGCCTCCTCTGCAGGGTGGACCTTCCGTGCCCCTCCTTTCCTGTCTCTCCCAGGTATGGGCAACCTCTGCTTGCATGCTTCCACTGACTGAAGGCTCATCACCTCTTTGGGCTAGCCGCCCATCCCGCCTTTGGGCTGCCAGTGATCGGACAGTGAGCACTACCACATGTGCCCAGGGCTTTACAGCTCCCACTCCCACTCCGATACGTCACTGGGCCTTTCAACCCGAGAGGACAGTCATTTGTCCTCGTGGCACAAACAGAACCAGGGCTCAGAGAGGTTAGGTAACTGGGCCAAAGCCACACAGCAGGGAAGCGGCCGGTCTTGGGAAACAGCGCTTACCTTGAGGAAGGAGTGCAGGTCGGCCAGCGTGGGCCGGACCTTTCGGGGCTCGCCGGGGGGGTTGCTGTTGGCATAGTGCTCGTAGGCAGGGACCACGTCGATCGTGTTGTAGCCAAAGGTGCGCATGTAGAGCGTGCTGCCGTGGGTCAGGTGGCTGGGGTGGCTGCTGTCATAGGCCGCTGGGGGCGGGGGCTCGTCACCCCCCAGCAGCGTGCTGATGGTGAAGCGCCCGCTGCACAGAGCAGGGTCCCCGGGCGCCTCCGCCGCGGGCAGCTCTGCCATTGTGCGTTCGGGTGTCGAGGGAGGGGGCCAGGGTCGGCAGGGACACTCAGGTGGCTTTATAGGCTGGGCCCGCACCAGGGAGGAGGCAGGGCGGTCGGCCCGAACCGCCCACAGCTGGCAGGCAGGGTCCCCAGAGGGGCGGGAGGTGGAGCACGTGCCCGCTGCTTCCACCCACCGTGTGATCGTCGTTGAGATAGGGGACCCGCCTCGGATGTGGGGGCCGGGCTGGCCCAGAGCCAGGCACGCCCCTGAGTGGCAGTGGCTCTTCTGAGTCCGGGAGCAGCCGAGGTGACCGGCCAGGACCCAGGAAGGAGTAGTCACCAGAGAGGACCCTAAGGGACCCTCTAAGGGACGCTAGAGGTGGCCCGGTGGCCTGAGGACCTACTATAGGTCCCATCCTATGCAGATTCAAAAGCCTCACATATGAGTGCACGGTCTTTATTTATTTAGTATTTTTGAATAGATGCATGGGGTGACATTTTTAAAGATGCACACATATGCCTATATAGATCTAGTCGCTCTAGCTCCAACCCTGTCTCCCAGCATCCTGTGTGTCCGTCCAGAGACATCTCTCAGTGTGTGTAAGCCATTATCTGCAAGGAGCCCCAAGCCACAGCTCGGCTGGTCCAAGCCACGCTCCGCATCCACCAACGGGGCTGTGGCTGGCCAGCAGCCTCCAGGCCACCTGGTGTCACCTCACAGGTGGGCCAGCCTGCCGCAGGCTCTGCCTCCAGGGCCACCGGGTCGTGGAGCCCGGGGAGCTAGCACCTTCACCCCACTGACCCATCGGGGACAAAGCGCTCCCAGCTCCTCCACGGCCAGGCCTGGGCCAGCGCCGCGCCACCCTGGGACCCAGCTGTGCCGTGAATGACAGTGGCAGTGGGCGCAGCACTCTGGTCACCAGAGGCACTTAGGCCATCGCAGGGACAGTGGCTGGAATCTGAGTTGTGGGGGTGACAGGTGGGCCAAGGTCTCAACAGGTGAGTTAGTGGGAGGGCGCTTGGTGGCTTGGCGTGCTTCCAGAAACGAATGACACGAGGGCTGGTGGTGTCACCTGCAGTCACCTTTTCCCCAGGATGCCAGCGTCCCATGGCTGGTGCCCTGCCCCAGCTCTGAAGGGCCATCCCAGCTCCAGCGCTCCCCGGGGTCGGCTGGGCTTTGAGTCTACACTGCGGCCCCCTTCTCCTTCTACCCAGTTCTGCTCCCTTCCCTCTGCCGGCAGGCACCCACCGAGAGCTCCGTGATGAAGGCCCCGAGCACTCACCTCTGTCTCCCAGTCTGCGACCCGGGTGGGGTGGCCTAGCGGCTCACAAGACAGTCACCGATCTCTTTGTCACCTCTCTGGGTTTGCATCTTGCAGCCATTCCCTCAGCAACCGAGCCGTGGTGGTGGCGGGCGCCAGAGACGCGGGCGGCAGGCACTGCAAGTGCTGGCCCCGCGGCAGGCGCGGGCCTGTGTTAGGGGCAACGGGCATGGCGACAGCGGTGTCATGAGGGCAGTGGCGGCAGAGATGCCCCCGGAGGAGGGTCAGGGTGGGGACAGCCAAGGAAGCCTTCCTGGAGGAGGGGACCCCTGACCTGAGCCTCGAGGGGTGAGTTGCTGCCCCTGGAGGCAGGGAGGGACAGAGGCCAGAAGGCCACCGCCAGCTCCGGGCGTCTGAGCTTGGCTTGTGCTCAGGCTGCAGTCACCCTCGGGGGGAACGTGGCGGGGACGCGTTTTCTCTTCCTCCCACCCCTGCCTCTCAGGCCGGGGCTCTCAGAGCTCACACAGGCCCCCAGGGGACCAGCTCGGTGTCCCTGGGGCTCCACGGCCTCGTGGAGAACTTGCAGAGTGGGTGCCCACTGCCCTGTCTCCCTGTGCAGGGGGGACGGTGTGCAGGGGGCAGATGGTGTGCAGGGGGGGACGGTGTGCATGGGAGGACGGTGTGCAGGGGGGACAGTGTGCATGGGAGACGGTGTGCAGGGGGGGACGGTGTGCATGGGGGACGGTGTGCATAGGGGGACGGTGTGCATGGAGGACGGTGTGCATAGGGGGACGGTGTGCAGGGGGACAAGGTGTGGCAGGGGGGAGGTTGTCATGGGACGGGTGTCAATGGGGACAGTGTGCAGGGGGTGACGTGTGCAGGGGGAGGTGGTGCTGGGGATACGGTTGCCAGGGGGGACGGTGTTGCATGGGGGACGGTGTGCAATTGGGGGACACGGTGTGTCAGGTGGGGACAGTGTGCAGGGGGACGGTTTGCAGAGGGACGCGTGGCAGCGGGACGGTTGCCTGGGGGGCAGCTGGCAGCACTGTGAGGGCAGCAAACCATCACAGAGTCACCCTCCAAGGCGAGGGTCCAGGAGCCCCACAAAGTCGTGGTCAAGTTGTCATACCGTAGGGCATTTTTCTGGGGGAAGGGCATGAATCTCATGCAGCTCACTAGACCAGAAGCCCACAGGGACAGGGACCCGGCCCTATTTTGTCCAGTAATCATCTCGAGCTACTATAACAGCACAGAGTAGGCATCCAGTAGACGCTTGTTGAATGCATAACAAAGGGGACTCGGGATTGCGTGGCTGCCATAGAAACCCGTGGCTGACCATGGCCACCAGCAGGGCCGATGCAGGGGCAGGTCCCCAGGATGCTCCCAGCTCAGGGTTCGGCCCCTGCTCTGGCACCACGAGGCCAGCTGAGGGTAACAGGACCCAGCGCCAAGCCCAAAAGGTCATGGTAACTGCGCTTTTTTGCAAAGTGTCTATATGTACCATGCGTGCTTTTGAAATCTTCTCGGGGCTCCTCTCACTGCCCCCCAGGCCCACCTGCCCCCGTCCCTGGATTTCCAGCCCCTCCTCAGAGCGGCGTCTGCAGGCCTGGTCCCCAGCCCCCACTCCGGGCCCAGTCATGGCCCATTTCCACTTGCCTGGGCCCCCCTGGGTGTGTCGGGAGAGGCGTTGTGCGGGCCCTCCTGCCAGTTACTCATTCCCTCTGAGCCCCCGGGCAGATCTTATCGCCCCTCTCCCTCTTAAACTGCCACCTGACTGTCGAAATCACCACTGCCCAACAGCAAGCCCTCACACCAGGCCGTGGAAAATTCCTGATTACGATCTGGGGAGAGGAAGAGGCCTAGGGGGGCCAGGGCTGGTTTCCAGCAACACCACGCCTGCCGCCTGCCGTGGGCAGTGAGCGGGGTGACTGTGCCGGGTGACCTTGGGCAAGTCCCTTCCTCCGCCCTCCAAACCCCTGGCCTGTGTCAGCCCTGAAGGGGAACTTGGCGGCTTCGGCTTCTTCGATTAAACTTCTGTGCTCCGCCACCTCCCCCTGGGGCGGGGCAGGGGTCCAGCAGGAGCCCTGGGCGGTTTGTCAACTGAACACGCTGACAGAGCCGTCACACACCATGTCCCAAAGCACATCCCCCCAGGAAAGGGGATTCTTGAAGCAGCAAAGTGGAAATGACACCTGCACCTGGGCCAGGTATCTCTTGCCCGGCCAGTGGTGGCCCTGGCCGAGGGGCTGGCTGTCAGAAGGATGGACAGCAGGGGCAGCAAGGGACCCGGAAGACTCAGCGGTCAGGAAAACGTGGAAGTGAAAACCCCAGATGTGCGGGCTGCTGCAGCCCCTGACTCTCAGGGCCTCCTGTCTTCATGGCCATGGAGCCAACTCAGCATTTATTGTGCTCCTCCTGTGTACCAGGCCCTGGACCTCACAGCCCAGCCTGGCAGATGGACCAGCAAGGAGGGGGTTGCCGGGAGAGAGGGGGGCGGGGAGGAGGTGGGCCAGGACGGAGGGACCTGGGGAGGGAGCTCGGGCGGGTGTGGTCAGTGCAGGGGACAAGGCGGATGGGACGGCACGCAGTGCTGCACACTGGGGACAGGAGGGAAGAAATGGGGGCAGATTCGGGGTCCAATTGTTTCTTTATTCCACTACATTTATTGAGTGCCTATTGCATACCATGCCCTGTGCTAGGGAAGAGGGACACCACAGAGAACAAGACGAAGACCCTGCCCTCCCGGAGCTCACATTCTAGTGCGAGAGACAGACAATAAACAAGCAATTATTACACATTTAGTGGTAAGTGCTATTGAGAAAACAAAGCTTTTTCTTAGGAAGAGCATCAGGCTGCTCTGAGGATGAGGAATTTGAGCTGGGCTCCAACAGTGAGAAGGAGCCACCCATAAGCGAGCAGGTATGAGCACAGGGGTTCAGACGGTGGGGAGAGCACGTGCAAAGGCCCTGTGACAGGAGCGTGGTGTGGGCTTCCAGAACATCAAGGAGGCCCGTGTGTCTGGAGCAGAGAGACCAAGGACAGGGACTGGAGACAGGGCAGAGGGAACACCTGGCCTTACAGGCCGGGGTTGGAAGTTTCATATTCTGCTACGTGATGGTCAGATTTATATTTTTCAAAGATTGCTTTGGCTGTTGTATGGAGAATGGCCCGGGGACACGAGGGCAAGGCAAGCCAGCCAGGGCCACCACAGGTGTGTGACGTGGAGGCCAGGCCAGGGGGTAGCTGTGGGACGGCAGGAGGGGAGAAGTGTTGGAAGTTGAGGTGCATTGTAGTTGTTTTGTTTGGTTTTTAGCCCTATACCTTGAGGACGGCAGGGTGTTGAGAGAGTTTGAAGGCAGGGCCGACAGAACCAACACACGGATCGTGCAGGGCAGGGGCTGGGAGGAAGGAGGGAACGGGGACAGTGGGGCAATGGTGGCTTTGTTTCTGAGTAGGGAAGCCCTCGAATGCCAGGGCAAGCAGGCTGGCCTTTGCCCTGGGGTGTCAGATCCTATCTGTTTCTGGAAAGCTGGGCCAGGGCCACAGCAGGGCCAGGAGGAGGCTATGGCAGTGGTCAGGCCAAAGCAGCCAAGAGCCCCAGCTGAGCCCGAGGGCTGGGCCCTGGCCGCTCGGGGACATCAGCTCAGCATCACACTGGGACGTCTAACAGGTGCTTTCCGGAGCCCACCCTGGGGACGCTGCGGCCTGGGCAGGCGTCAGCAGGTGCTGAGAGCCCCCCAGGTGACTGTGAGCACCAGTCCGCACTGAGACCCAGCGGGCTACACAGACCGATCTTGCACACACAGACTCCCCGGCCCGGCCCGGCCCCGCGTCCTTGCGTCCGACCCGGTCCCGCGAGGCTCGCCTGGAGAGGATGGGTATGATGCAACCCTGGTGTCGTGAAATAGCCGGGTAAGAGGATGCGCTGCTCGTCGGCCTGATTCACAACACCAGCTGCAGCAACAATACCAGAACGCCGCCGCTTCCTCCGCTGGGCTGTGGCTCCTCCGGCTTGCGACGGCGGCGAGCCCGTGCCAACGCCTTCCCCAGCCCGCAGAGGCTGGGGCCCTGCCCGCGGGGGGCTCACACACTCCAAGACGCTGGGGGAGAGGGAGTAGACACAAAGCCCTGCACAGTGCGGGGACAGCTCTGCGGCCGTGCGGGTACCAGGCGCTGGCACCAGGACCGAGAAACGCGATTTCTCTCGAGCCTTGTGGGGCACACGGGTGTGGCCATTGCAGTCCTGGTCCTCTACCTGAACCATGTCATAGCAGTGGCACATAAGATACTCGGAGCTACTGAGAGCCACAGCAAAAAGGAAAGCATACATATGGGTCAAGACATTTTCATTGTTGAAGGAAGGACCACTGGTTCCTTTTCCTTCATGGACAGACATGTTTAAGAAAACCTATTTGGCCAGCATTCATTCCACAAGGAGCGTAGATATTAATAATGTATCGGACATAATCTGGCTATTTTGGAGGCCACACAGAAGGACAGGCATGGTCACCGTCCTCAGGAAAACACAGTGTGACAGAGGAGGTGAGGCCAGCAAATAGCCACACGCCAAGGCATAGAGGCATAAGCCCCTGGATAAAATGCTATATGGGTTCAGAGAAGGGATGACTTCCTCTGGCTGGGGCCAGAGTAGAGTGGGGAATTGACATTGCAGCTAGAATAAAGCAAAAAGATAAGCAATTATTTAAGAGAGAGAAAGCCCATTGTTAGTTTTGAGCTTCCCGGCTTCCAAGATGAAAAGTGGAAGCATGCTCAGTAGTTGTTATCTGATAAAAGGGTAAGATTTCATTCTTTTCTTTTCTTTTCTTTTTTTTTTGAGACAAAGTCTCACTTTGTTGCCTAGGCTAGAGTGAGTGCCGTGGCGTCAGCCTAGCTCACAGCAACCTCAATCTCCTGGCCTCAAGCGATCCTTCTGCCTCAGCCTCTCGAGTAGCTGGGACTACAGGCATGCGCCACTATGCTCAGCTAATTTTTTCTATATATATGAGTCGGCCAATTAATTTCTTTCTATTTATAGTAGAGACGGGGTCTCGCTCTTGCTCAGGCTGGTTTCAAACTCCTGACCTTGAGCGATCTGCCCGCCTCGGCCTCCCAGAGTGCTAGGATTACAAGCGTGAGCCATCACACCCGGCCAGATTTTATTTTTTTCCTTCTTCCACTCCTCATAAAGAAAATAAATCTCCATCAACCCTTTATTCCAGATGTTCCCAACACAGAGTGGCCCGAGCTCAGCCCTGCTGCAGCGACACACACTGTAGCAGTAACTCTAGCGAAAATTCAGCCCCGTATTAACAGACAAGACCACACCTGTTCCTCCACCCTGATGACTCTGCCAATGTGCTCTCCCGGGAAACCACAGCGACAAGCCCATTGTCACCCTCAGCCTTTCACTTTTAAATACACCTTCACCCTCTCACACTTTATTGGAAACTTTTTTTTTCTTGAAAGCAATAGGGGAAACCTGGTCATGCTGTACCGTTTTGATTGCCACAGGTTGCATTTCTAATCAGAACAGTCTTTAAAGCACAGTTTTGGAGCCCAGGAGCCTATGACCTGCTCCTGAGACAGGGACTAGTGGCCGAGAATCTCAGCGCTGCTTTTAAAAGCTCAGTTCCCTGACCCCAAGCCAGGCCCAGCCCCGGACACGTGAGGGGAGGGGGAAGGACGTGAGCCGAAAGAGGCCTGGCCTGGCTCTGCACCACCTGCTTCCTGGCCCGGTGCCTCAGTTTCACTGTTTGTCAAATGAAGATAGTTGTACCCAGCCAATGGTTTTTTTGATGATGAAGAGAGGGGGTTTGTGAGAAAGCATTTTGAAGGACATTAATATCGCCCTGCAAATATAAACTATTGTCAAGGGGTTGGGGGGAGGTCCCAGCTTCTCAGCTACCAGAAAAGAAGGGTGGAGAAAACAAGTCATCCTCGACTTGTTTAGGGCAGTGCTTTCCACTAAGAGCAGCTGCTAAGTTTTTGTTTTTGTTTTTTTTTACAAGCTGGGACATGGGGAGGAGTCGGGAGAGGAAGGATCTCCGGATCTGAAAGCAGAAACCCAAAGGGAGTTGGCTTTGCTTGTTTGCTGTCATGAGAGCTCAGGCCTTCATAGGAGTTGCATATAAAAGCATAAAAACATTCAGAGAGTTCTAGAAGCTGAGTCAAGAGGCTCTCTCACAGCAACTGGTTGCCCCTCTACCAGCTATTGAAACAAGCTGGTAACTTAACTTCCTTAACTTCCCAAAGCAGGGTTGCAAAGGGTCTTCTGCCAATGGCCACCCGGGCCCTGGGGTTCATAGGCAAGGTGACACGCTGGGGCTGCGTGTGTGCTGCAACGGGACAGGGGTGGCATCCAAGGGGAGTCTCCACTCCAGACTGGGTCCACGGCAGGCCTCTGGCTCTGCGTGGGTCCTGCGGGGTAAGTGGAGCCCCGAAGCGGGACGTTCGAGGGGCTGCAGGGAGAACAGAGTCAGCTCCTCGCCCCCGGGAGCTCGCAGTTAGCGGCAGCTCGTGCACGGGAGAGGCAGGCTCGGGACGAGCCCCATCGGAGCAAGCGCCTGCCCGCGGTGGACACAGGAAGGTCGGGGACAATGGACACGAGACAAAAGCATCTCTGATCGGGGCCAGGGCTTCCACCAGAGCTCAGATGCTCATTCACTTGTGATTTCCTGGAAAGTGTGTCCCCTGACCCCCACCCCCACCCCCACACAGTGATGACCTTCATCCGATGCCGTGTTTACTGGTTAACCGCCCAACATCAACCACCACGCCGTACAGCTGGCTTTGATGTTGGCGGGTACGGAGGGGGCAGGCTGACCCCATGGGCTAGGGACGGTGCATTTCTTCCCGAACCAGGTGGAATTTTTATCTTCCTGTTTAGTACATCTGAGACCTTGTATGAAAACCTGTGCTTGGGAATGGTCCACACTTAGGCCCACAGGCCTGCATAGCCACTGTCTGCTTTCAGTCAGAACAGGCCTTCCTGGCCCTGGCAGGGCTTTTAAAAAACACAAATTAGTGCCTAGGCCGCTCCCAGGCCAATTAAGTCAGGAGCTCCAGGGGAACAGGGGCTTGGAGCCCCCCAGGTGATTGTAACACACAGCCAGGGGCGGGATCTGCAGAGTTAGCCCCAGGGGGAAGAAAACGTGTTGACCAAGGCCGCATGCAGCACAGAATCCGGCTTTTTCGATAAAGGGATTGCTGATTTAGAATTTTTTTTAAGAATGAGCTTTCATGTCATCAAAGGCTTTTAAAGAACTTTTTCCTCCTGTTTAGACACATGAATAGGTAAGACGGCCACCAGCCTTTTGTGCCGGACTCTGCCCGAGGGCGACAGGCAGCCTCATTCCTTTGCACAGACAAGCGTGTGTCCCCAAGTCAGACCCCCGGGACAGGCCACACAGACCCAACGCCCCCCAACTCCCGCATACTCACCTCTTGGGCGTGTGGGTGCCCTAGGGTCAGGCTTCTTCTTGGCCGGGGCAGGGGTGAACATGAGGCCTGGGAGCTCGGGCAGGCCGCTCCACTCACCTGCGTCCTGCTCTCTCTCCTGCTTCGAGGTCGTGGAGAGAGTGACAGCTGCTGGGCGCTGCTGGGCGTGAGAAGAGGGCCAGGCCGGGCCCTGGGGCTCACCACATCCTGGGCTGGCGGGATGGCCACACCCACGCAGCCTCTCATCTCTCGGGCCTGCCGCCCGGCCACTGGGACTCCTTCTTCGTATGTCCCTTCCTGTGGCAGCTCTTAAGGCTTCTATTTGATTACGGCGTGTGCGTGCACAGACACCTGCTCCTCTCTTTCCCCAGCCACACTGCCAGCCTCAGGATGCAGGGACGGGGGTCGGCCCGCCCGTAGCCCTTAGCCCCACAGGCCCTGGTGAGCGCTGGGTGGGCGAGCGAGTAAAGCTCTTGAGTCAGCCTGGGAGGAGAGACCCATGTTACTGGCACCCTTGCTGCCACTCCCTGGAGGGCCGGGATCTCCATTCACGTCCCCACTGTGTCCCCAGTGCCCAGAACAGTGCCCGGCACAGGGTCGGCCCTCGAACGTTTGTTGGATTCCATTCTCCGCTTAGCAGTCACTGAATAAACAGGAGCCACAGTGGAACTTGACCTATCACTGTCTGCTGTCCCCTAATAGCAAAATTTTGGTCCACCGACATTGACCTAATTTTGCCTCTTGCCCTCCCTCCCCCCAAAGGCACCATCGCTGCGGTGGGGGAATAGATTCCACCTGCATGCAGGTGACAGCTCTGTCGTGAAGGCAGAAGCCCTGTGCTAGAGGACGCACCTGCAGCCCTAGAGACCCATCTAAACGCGCAGGGACCAGGGCGGCCAGAACTAACTCTTACGTACTGAGGCCCATTTGTGCCAGGCCACAGGCAGGTGATTTGTGTGCACTAACTTAACCTTCCCAGTGGCCTGATGGGATAGGAACTGGCGTCCCTGCTTTCCATACAGGCAAACTGGCTCAGAGTGATAAATGACTGTCCTCAGCCGCAAGTGCAGGAAAAGGAATCTTAACTTTCAGTCGAGCTGCACAGCTTGCCCGGCTGCTGCTCAGCTAGAACTGCCCCCTCGTTCAGGGCTCTGTGCTTTGGGAGCCTTCTGTCTGGGGGCTGTTACCCCAACATTCCTCACCCCTACCTCTTCCCACCCCCACCCTCACTGTTGTTGAGAATTTCAGAATTTAGTTTTCAAAGGAGTCTCTGAAACCCTTCTCGGGCAGTTTGTTTTTTGATGGTAATGACCACTGCCGGCCACCAGGGGGCGCACCCCAAACATCTGCTTTTGAGGAAACGAAGTGCCGGTTTGGTTTGGTTTACATTTTCCTAAAAACTCAAGCTAGCTGGCCTGCCGGGCTGATCAGCACAAAACTCACCCCAGAGACCTACCCCGAGGGCGAGAGGGTCACCAGTGTGGGGAGGGTGCTGCCTCCATGCCTCCAGCCTGGCGCTATGGGAAGGAGACATTTGGGACAACTGAGGAAGAAGAATTTCCAGCCAACCTCCCCAGTGAAAATGTCTGCCCCGCCCCCGCCCTAGCACCGCCAGCGGGAGGCCTGTTCCCACCGCCATTCCTCACGTGTGCCTGGCGCTGTTTGCTTTTATGCACATCTGGCCATTCCCAGGAGCAGCTGAGATGCCACTCACGTTGGGGTGACCAGTGGCCCCCACTTTGTCTTCTTCCCTTGCCACCTGGGTGGCATTGGAATGGTTTTAACTGAGGACTCAGATGGAAGCCTCACCCCACAGAAAAGCCTTCAGCTCTAAGAAAGCAGGATAAGCAGGACACTGTTTACCGCAGGGGCCCCTCCCCATCTGCCGGCACCCCCTCCACAGTCACCGCTGCCAGCCCCAGCTCCGGGAGGGCCTGCTCTGTCCCACACGTGCCATCAAACCCCAGGATGGGTCACAGGGGCACTTGTAGGAGACCCAGATTCCCAGCTGATTCATAAGCAAACGGCCACCCAGAGGCCCCGGGGTGCACAGGAGCAGGGGTGGGGTGGGAGGGACATGCAAAGGGAACGAGCTGGGGCTCTTCTGCGTGGCCCCTTCAGGGACAGAACACAGGCCCCGGCAGCTGGAGCTGGCCACTTCAGGCAGAGGACGAATACTCCCCAGCTCCCTAGCAGTGTGCATGTCCCCAAGCTGCATCCCATGCCCCAGGTCCTGAAAATGCCCCTCCTGGTCAGAACGGGCCCAAGCCTCTTCCACCATCTGACCCAAACGGAGTCCCCAATCCCGCTTCCCCTTCCTCAAGGCCAGGAACCGGCTCTTCATCCCCATTTAAAATGCTTTCCACCGAGGTCCAGAACAAAGGGTCACAGATGGCAACTGCTCCCAGCCCCGCAACGCATGCCACATGCTGGAC